ACATACATAAGCACATGCATACACGCACAGACACACACACACACACACACATAAACACCTACACATACGAACATACACACCTGCACACCCACACACACATGTACATACATACATACATACATATACATGCATACATACAAACATACATACATACACACGTATATACATACATCTAAACCCTAGGCCCTAAACCTAAGGCCCTAAACCCTAGGCCCTAAACGTAAGGCCCTAAACCCTAGGCCCTAAACCTAAGGCCCCAAACCCTAGGCCGTCAACCTAAGGGCCCTAAACCCTAGGCCCTAAACCCTAGGCCCTAAACGTAAGGCCCTAAACCCTAGGCGGCCCCAAACCCTAGGCCCTAAACCTAAGGCCCCAAACCCTAGGCCCTAAACCTAAGGCCCTAAACCCTAGGCCCTAAACCTAAGGCCCCAAACCCTAGGCCCTAAACCCTAGGCCCTAAACCCAAGGCCCTAAACGCAAGGCCCTAAACCCTAGGCACTAAACCTAAGGCCCCAAACCCTAGGCCTTAAACCTAAGGCCCCAAACCCTGGGCCCTAAACCTAAGGCCCTAAACCCTAGGCCCTAAACGTATGGCCTAGGGGAGGGGGGGGGGAGGGGCTGAAAATCGGGCAGCATTTCCTTCCCCCAAGCATGCCGGTAGAAAGGGGAAAAAAAGAGAAAAAAAAACAAACCTCAACCGAATAAAAGGTAGAAAAAAGTAGAAAAAGGTAGAAAAAGGTAGAAAAAGGTAGAAAAAGGTAGAAAAAGGTAGAAAAAGGTAGAAAAAAGTAGAAAAAGGTAGAAAAAGGTAGAAAAAGGTAGAAAAAGGTAGAAAAGGTAGAAAAGGTAGAAAAACGAAGAAATGGTGGATACCGTGTGTGTGTACAAATGAAAAAAAATGGTGTTGGGAACCAGGCATGTCTTGACAGACAGGCAGAAACCGGAAGATTTTGGAAGAAAGTTGCAGAATTCCGACGAATCTAGAAGAATTTAGAAGAATTTAAAAGCATGCAGCAGTCTTACGTAGAACAGGGAAGACTACAAGGCTTGCTCCAGACACTCGCACCAAAAGCATTTGCATGAATTTTGCATAAAAAAACAAAAAAAATTTCCTCGCTTCGCGAACATCCATATTTGTTTTCAACTCTAGTACTCCACACACACTACAAGGCTTGCTCCAGACACTCGCATCAAAAGCATTTGCATGAATTTTTGCATAAAAAAACAAAAATTTCTTCGCTTCGCGAACATCCATATTTGGTTTCGACTCTAGTACTCCACACACACTACAAGGCTTGCCCCAGACACTCGCACCAAAAGCATTTGCATGAATTTTGCATAAAAAACAAAAAATTTCCTCGCTTCGCGAACATCCATATTTGTTTTCAACTCTAGTACTCCACACACACTAATTACAAGGCTTGCTCCAGATACTCGCACCAAAAGCATTTGCATGAATTTTGCATAAAAAAACAAAAAAATTTCTTCGCTTCGCGAACATCCATATTTGTTTTTCAACTCTAGTACTCCACACACACTACAAGGCTTGCTCCAGACACTCGCGCCAAAAGCATTTGCATGAATTTTGCATAAAAAACAAAAAATTTCTTCGCTTCGCGAACATCCATATTTGTTTTCAACTCTAGTACTCCACACACACTAATTACAAGGCTTGCTACAGACACTCACACCAAAAGCATTTGCATGAATTTTGCATAAAAAAAAAAAA